TATTTATCATTTTATTACTTGAATTATCAATATACTTATTAATGAGTTTAAGTGCACCTCAACCGTGGCCATAAAAAAAAAAAAAAAAATCCCTCAGCCCACCGCACTGTTGTACCACTAGCTTTTCCCCTCATCACATTCCCTTGTTGACATTCAAGAAAGGAAAAAAATGAAGATAAGAAGGAAAAATAAGATCACTAAAACCGTTGGATAAGAGAGGCGGGATAAAATGACAACTTTTACAACATATACTAAAATCCCATTTGGGTAATTGCAGAATAATTAAAAGGAGTCTCTCTTTTGCGACCATTTTCGTCGGTCTGTGGTAAAAATTTTACATTTTTTTGGCATGGGAGGTAATGAATTAGTGGTTTTTTTCCATGCACATTAAGAGAATTAACCTTTTTTTCATTAGAAATTATATAATCTAGTCTTATTTTGTTCTTTTTTTTTTCTTTTAATATTGCCACTGTGAATTGAGCCTGATATTTTTAAGATAATGAAATTGGTTCTCCACAAATATACACTATTCTTTAATTGACATAATTAATTAACTATTTCTAAAATCATTTCCTTTAGTAATTGTAATAACCCCATTTTGGGTATCGATTAGAATATTTAACATTACTTGCCTTACTCTTAAAAAAAAAAGAGAAAAATCCATATCCTCATAGCTTCAAGTTTGTAGAAATTAATGCATGTTTGCAAAAATCTCTGGCAACTTTTTTTTCGCCATATATATTTAGAGTCTTGCTAGTTCAGCCTGTTTATACTTTATACTGTTGGATAAAGCCATCTTCGTACATTTGCGAAAGCATCCCCTTTGGGACAAGATTCAAACAAGAAGAAAATGAGCATGCCATCGTTGGCGGAAAAGAAAGCGACCGTCCCATCCACCAAAAAACCAAAAAAAAAAAAAAAAAGGGGAGGGAAGAAGAAAAAGAAGGAAGGGCAATGTCAAAAAATGCCATAGTCTACGGAAGACCCCAGACGCACCAAATCATGACTTTGAAGACCCAATTCACAGTTTAATCCTACTCCAAGTCCAAGGAAGACCGACCTAACATTTCTATCCCAACTCTCATGATTGTTTAATAAGTCTTGTCCCAGGATAATTTTTCCCGGGTAGTCGGGAGTGATGTTAGTATAATTAATAATTAATTAAAGGTCTTTTTAATTTATATTTAAAAAATATAAATTAAAAGTATATTTATTATATATTTTATTATTAATTTATATAAAAATAATTATTTTTAATTTATATTTATTATTATTTAAATAATTTTTTTTTTGTATTTTTATAAGAATTAGTCTAAAAAAATAATAATAATTTGCCCATCTAAATCTTAAATATTTTATTTATATTTTTCCTATAACTCAACTTCAAAAATAGAACTTTGAAACTAGGCAATGGAAATTCTAGCACCGATACTAATCCAAGTCCACAGAAAACCCACGTCCCAAGTCGCATCACAGAAGACCCAATACCATTCCGGCCAGGGTTCTGGCTCTGTTGAAATTGTTAAGGTGATTAAAAATTATAAAATAATATTTTAAAAAATATTAATTATATTTAATTTAATTGATAAAAATAATTAAGAATGAATAATTATAATTATTAATTAGTTGTATAAAAAATACTATAATTATTAATTAATAATTACTAGAATAGTCTATGTGTTAATAAATTAAAATAAACTAATATTTTTAAATAATATTTTAAAATTTTTCAAAATTAATATCTTTGATACTTGGAAGTAATAACCACACCCTATAAGGCTTGTTTAGTTAATACTCCACTTTATCATGAAAGTTTTTTACTTGAAAAGTTATTAAGAAAGTTATAAAATATTATATAAAAAGTCACTAAGTTTCATTAGAATTTTATTAGATTAATAATTTTGTTGTATTTTATAAAAAAATTAATATAAAAAATTAATTAAAAAAATTATTAGGTGAATCCAACACAAAAATTGTTATAAGAAAATTTTTTTTCTAACAAAATAGGTAAAAAGAAAATTTTATAAATTAAAAATAATATTAAAAAAAATTTAAATATTATTTTTATTTTTATTTTATTATAATATTAATATATAAAAATACATAAATATTTTATAATGAAAAAATTTGAAGAATCTTAAAAGAAAAAGTTTTCTAAAGCAAACACCCTCGGTTATTTCAATTTAACCAAAGTTCATGGAAAACCCGTGTGTAATCATGGACCTTACAGTGACTCATCACTTTATTAAAATTATCAAATTTTATTTTATTTAATTATTAAAAATATTAATTAATAATTAATATTTTAATATATTACAATTAATTATTTAAAATTTTAAATAAGTATTAATTAAATTAAATATTTAATTTTTAATTACTCTTAACAAAATAATGAATAAGTAAGCATAACTACCCTAAAACCTACCCTAATACTAATCCAAGTCCACAAAAACCGTTAACAGGTAAATATCAAATGATCTTTCTAAAATTATGTCAAAGAAACCCAATTTAATTATAAAATACATGAAAAGAAATCTAATAAATAAGTTAGGACCCTTAGACACCATTTTGGACGATAATTAACTAGACGTGTTAAAGGAACTTTCACTAACTGCCGTAATGGGTTAAGCTGGCGCGATAAAGCAATCGTTTTATGTCGTTCTGACAATTCTTGATGAATTTACCAAAAAAAAAAAAGAAAAAAAGACAATTCTTATGATATATGCTTCTATATTCTTTTGCTATTAATTTTTAAATAATTGATTATAATATTTAAAA